TGGCTGGTTACTTCGTCTTGAACTATTTGTCCAAGTGTATGAACCGGCTGCTGTGTTGCTTCTACCTGAACTGTTTTGCCAGGTGTGTAAGAACTGGATAATTGGCTGCTTCAACCTGAACTGCTTTTCCAGGTGTGTGAATCGAGTTTGAATTTTGGAATTAATGCATTGTACGTTGAACACTTCCGTGTTGAACCGTTTTTTTTGAATGCATTGATTTTGCCGTTGTCAGTTTTCAGCATTAATGACCTGTGCGTTGGATTTTCTGTTTTTGAACCGTTTCTGAGAATTCTACCTATATAAGGCATCTGTCACCTTAGAATGGTTACTTCGTCTTGAACTATTTGTCCAAGTGTATGAACCGACTGCTGAGTTTCTTCATCTTGAACTATCTGTCCAAGCGTATGAACTGAATTACCAAATTGCTTCATCCTGAGTTGATCCGTTAGGCGTGTGAATTTGATGGCTGGTTACTTCGTCTTGAACTATTTGTCCAAGTGTATGAACCGACTGCTGAGTTTCTTCATCTTGAACTATCTGTCCAAGCGTATGAACTGAATTACCAAATTGCTTCATCCTGAGTTGATCCGTCAGGCGTGTGAATTTGATGGCTGGTTACTTCGTCTTGAACTATTTGTCCAAGTGTATGAACCGACTACTGAGTTTCTTCATCTTGAACTATCTGTCCAAGCGTATGAATTGAATTACCAAATTGCTTCATCCTGAGTTGATCCGTCAGGCGTGTGAATTTGATGGCTGGTTACTTCGTCTTGAACTATTTGTCCAAGTGTATGAACCGACTGCTGAGTTTCTTCATCTTGAACTATCTGTCCAAGCGTGTGAACTGAATTACCAAATTGTTTCATCCTGAGTTGATTCGTCAGGCGTGTGAATTTGATGGCTGGTTACTTCGTCTTGAACTATCTGTCCAAGTGTATGAATCGACTGCTGAGTTTCTTCGTCTTGGATTATCTTTCCAAGCGTATGAACTGAATTACCAAATTGCTTCATCCTGAGTTGATCCGTCAGGCGTGTGAATTTGACGGCTGGTTACTTCGTCTTGAACTATTTGTCCAAGTGTATGAACCTAATGCTGAGTTACTTCGTCTTGGATCGTCTTTCCAAGCGTATGAACTGAATACCAAGCTGCTTCATCCTGAGTTGAGCCGTCAGGCGTCTGAACTTGATGGCTGGTTACTTCGTCTTGAACTATTTGTCCAAGTGTATGAACCGACTGCTTTGTTGCTTCTACCTGAACTGTTTTTCCAGGTGTGTAAGAACTGGATAATTGGCTGCTTCAACCTGAATTGCTTTTCCAGGTGTGTGAACCGAGTTTGAATTTTGGAATTAATGCATTGTACGTTGAACACTTCCGTGTTGAACCGTTTTTTTGAATGCATTGATTTTGCCGTTGTCAGTTTTCAGCATTAATGACCTGTGCGTTGGATTTTCTGTTTTTGAACGGTTTCTGAGAATTCTACCTATATAAGGCATCTGTCACCTTAGAATGGTTACTTCGTCTTGAACTATTTGTCCAAGTGTATGAACCGACTGCTGAGTTTCTTCATCTTGAACTATTTGTCCAAGCGTATGAACTGAATTACCAAATTGCTTCATCCTGAGTTGATCCGTTAGGCGTGTGAATTTGATGGCTGGTTACTTCGTCTTGAACTATTTGTCCAAGTGTATGAACCGACTGTTGAGTTTCTTCATCTTGAACTATCTGTCCAAGCGTATGAACTGAATTACCAAATTGCTTCATCCTGAGTTGATCCGTCAGGCGTGTGAATTTGATGGCTGGTTACTTCGTCTTGAACTATTTGGATTTTCTGTTTTTGAACCTAATGCTGAGTTACTTCGTCTTGGATCGTCTTTCCAAGCGTATGAACTGAATACCAAGCTGCTTCATCCTGAGTTAAGCCGTCAGGCGTCTGAACTTGATGGCTGGTTACTTCGTCTTGAACTATTTGTCCAAGTGTATGAACCGACTGCTGTGTTGCTTCTACCTGAACTGTTTTGCCAGGTGTGTAAGAACTGGATAATTGGCTGCTTCAACCTAAACTGCTTTTCCAGGTGTGTGAACCGAGTTTGAATTTTGGAATTAATGCATTGTACGTTAAACACTTCCGTGTTGAACCGTTTTTTTTAATGCATTGATTTTGCCGTTGTCAGTTTTCAGCATTAATGACCTGTGCGTTGGATTTTCTGTTTTTGAACCGTTTCTGAGAATTGCGTGTTGAACCGTTTTTTTTAATGCATTGATTTTGCCGTTGTCAGTTTTCAGCATTAATGACCTGTGCGTTGGATTTTCTGTTTTTGAACCGTTTCTGAGAATTCTACCTATATAAGGCATCTGTCACCTTAGAATGGTTACTTCGTCTTGAACTATTTGTCCAAGTGTATGAACCGACTGCTGAGTTTCTTCATCTTGAACTATTTGTCCAAGCGTATGAACTGAATTACCAAATTGCTTCATCCTGAGTTGATCCGTTAGGCGTGTGAATTTGATGGCTGGTTACTTCGTCTTGAACTATTTGTCCAAGTGTATGAACCGACTGCTGAGTTTCTTCATCTTGAACTATCTGTCCAAGCGTATGAACTGAATTACCAAATTGCTTCATCCTGAGTTGATCCGTCAGGCGTGTGAATTTGATGGCTGGTTACTTCGTCTTGAACTATTTGGATTTTCTGTTTTTGAACCTAATGCTGAGTTACTTCGTCTTGGATCGTCTTTCCAAGCGTATGAACTGAATACCAAGCTGCTTCATCCTGAGTTAAGCCGTCAGGCGTCTGAACTTGATGGCTGGTTACTTCGTCTTGAACTATTTGTCCAAGTGTATGAACCGACTGCTGTGTTGCTTCTACCTGAACTGTTTTGCCAGGTGTGTAAGAACTGGATAATTGGCTGCTTCAACCTGAACTGCTTTTCCAGGTGTGTGAACCGAGTTTGAATTTTGGAATTAATGCATTGTACGTTGAACACTTCCGTGTTGAACCGTTTTTTTTAATGCATTGATTTTGCCGTTGCTAGTTTTCAGCATTAATGACCTGTGCGTTGGATTTTCTGTTTTTGAACCGTTTCTGAGAATTGCGTGTTGAACCGTTTTTTTTGAATGCATTGATTTTGCCGTTGTCAGTTTTCAGCATTAATGACCTGTGCGTTGGATTTTTTGTTTTTGAACCGTTTCTGAGAATTCTACCTACATAAGGCATCTGTCACCTTAGAATGGTTACTTCGTCTTGAACTATTTGTCCAAGTGTATGAACCGACTGCTGAGTTTCTTCATCTTGAACTATTTGTCCAAGCGTATGAACTGAATTACCAAATTGCTTCATCCTGAGTTGATCCGTTAGGCGTGTGAATTTGATGGCTGGTTACTTCGTCTTGAACTATTTGTCCAAGTGTATGAACCGACTGCTGAGTTTCTTCATCTTGAACTATCTGTCCAAGCGTATGAACTGAATTACCAAATTGCTTCATCCTGAGTTGATCCGTCAGGCGTGTGAATTTGATGGCTGGTTACTTCGTCTTGAACTATTTGGATTTTCTGTTTTTGAACCTAATGCTGAGTTACTTCGTCTTGGATCGTCTTTCAAAGCGTATGAACTGAATACCAAGCTGCTTCATCCTGAGTTAAGCCGTCAGGCGTCTGAACTTGATGGCTGGTTACTTCGTCTTGAACTATTTGTCCAAGTGTATGAACCGACTGCTGTGTTGCTTCTACCTGAATTGTTTTGCCAGGTGTGTAAGAACTGGATAATTGGCTTCTTCAACCTGAACTGCTTTTCCAGGTGTGTGAACCGAGTTTGAATTTTGGAATTAATGCATTGTACGTTGAACACTTCCGTGTTGAACCGTTTTTTTTAATGCATTGATTTTGCCGTTGTCAGTTTTCAGCATTAATGACCTGTGCGTTGGATTTTCTGTTTTTGAACCGTTTCTGAGAATTGCGTGTTGAACCGTTTTTTTTTGAATGCATTGATTTTGCCGTTGTCAGTTTTCAGCATTAATGACCTGTGCGTTGGATTTTCTGTTTTTGAACCGTTTCTGAGAATTCTACCTATATAAGGCATCTGTCACCTTAGAATGGTTACTTCGTCTTGAACTATTTGTCCAAGTGTATGAACCGACTGCTGAGTTTCTTCATCTTGAACTATTTGTCCAAGCGTATGAACTGAATTACCAAATTGCTTCATCCTGAGTTGATCCGTTAGGCGTGTGAATTTGATGGCTAGTTACTTCGTCTTGAACTATTTGTCCAAGTGTATGAACCGACTGCTGAGTTTCTTCATCTTGAACTATTTGTCCAAGCGTATGAACTGAATTACCAAATTGCTTCATCCTGAGTTGATCCGTTAGGCGTGTGAATTTGATGGCTAATTACTTCGTCTTGAACTATTTGTCCAAGTGTATGAACCGACTGCTGAGTTTCTTCATCTTGAACTATCTGTCCAAGCGTATGAACTGAATTACCAAATTGCTTCATCCTGAGTTGATCCGTCAGGCGTGTGAATTTGATGGCTGGTTACTTCGTCTTGAACTATTTGTCCAAGTGTATGAAAAACATCATTGTTTGAATACGAACCTGACCTAGAAGGGGCAAGAGATTTGAGGGAAATCAAACAAAGAAAGAGAAATGTGGGACCTGAAGTGAGGACCACGTGGGGCAGGATCTGACCCAGAGGTTTTGGTGTTGACAGCAACTTTTCTTCCTCAAAGCCAGCCTCAAGGCACAAAGTTGAGGGCGAAAAGCCTTTTTGAATAAAGAAAGAGGGACTTCGATTGTCATCTAGTGATTTTTCATATACCTTTTTTTGGCCTCAGGTCGAATTTCCTAGGAACGGAAGGAGTGGCATATACTAAGATGCCGGCGGGAATGGATTCTTGAGCCCCTTATTTACCTGGAGCCAACCTAATAAAAGATCGAAGTACCAAATGCTTAGGTCACCCGAGAGAGGCCTACGGGGCATTACGAGATAAAAAGCTCCTAGGCCGTGGGTCAAGACCAGAGAGCTACAGGTACACCTGGGGCAACAGAGCACTCACAGGCGGGGTCGGGGCAAGGGCAGCACGTCACGGAAGTTCTCAGCTTAATCTTACCGGCGCTATATCTTGGGTGCGCGATATGGTGGGACTGTCTAGCACAGAGACCCCCAAGCATCCCTGAGTTACAGCAGCTGGCGGAGGCAACGCAAATCGGGGAACCGGCAAGTTCTTCCGCAGAAGTCAGGCAGCTAGTAGACCACCTCAGTGAGCAAGCCAGGGAGGTGGCCAGTGAAGCTTCAATGGAAAGAACACCCAGAGCTCTTGCAATGTGGATGGCTGGGCTAACGCTAGCATTCGCTATCTCATGGTAATAGCAACATCATCACAAGTAATAGCAAGGTGTTCACTCAATCTATGTCAGTGTTCTCTCTCAAGGATCTAGGTCAGCTTGACTATTTCCTAGAAGTCAAGAACAAGGATAATGGATCTATGTCACTCTCCCAAGGCAAATACATAAGAGTTAGAAAAACAAGAGATTTGCTCGCCAAAACTAACATGCTTGCTCAGTATCATAGTCCATCTAACTATCCTAACTGCTGCTAACTAACCCCTAAAATCTAGGAAACTAATCCCTAGATTTAAGGAGCTTTGTAACTAACTCAATTGGGATCTATGGTTCTATAAATAGATCCCAATCATCTTGTAATCGCATTTTAGAAATACAAAAAACAGAAATTGAGAGAATTACATTGAGAATTCTCTCATCACATTCATGACAAAATAGGAATTCTAATATATTAGTACAATTAAAACAAGAATAAAGAAACACATCAGAGAGATTTACATGGATCTACTGATAAATTTTCAATTGAATTCTCTACAAAAGCTTTCAACATACAAAACATGATTGAATAATTGGTCAGAATTAGTTTGGACAAGAAATTCTAGAAAAATCAGATCAGAATCACATAATCACAAGCTCAGAACTATGTAAAAATTAGAATAACCAAGAAGCATATGGTCATAGAAGCAATACTAACCATAATTATTTTTCACTTGTAATTATATATTTTTCTAACCTCTTTATGAGGGATGGTTATTAAATGCTTTCTCTCTATCTCTTTGGCAATCGTCATGGATTCATATTCGTTAATTACTTGGGTCATAGCCATTCTTTTGTAGGTCTTAGAGAATTCAGGAGCTGTTTGGAGAATGATTTCTGTGTTATCATTGCGAATGACTCTTCTTGTCTTTAAATTAGATACCAATCAAAGTGTTAGAGACTCATAATACCAAATAGGAACAAGGACACACCAAATTTAATTATTACCTTAGAACGACTTTGTTGTTCTGCTGTAGAGGTCATCTTCTCTGTTGACTCAGCTTCTTCTAAATAAAGTTCTTTATGTGCCCGTTTCGTACTAGAAACTTCCCCGTATGCATAAAGTTCTTTATGTGTCCGTTTCGTACTAGAAACTTCCCCGTCTGCATGGGAGAAATCATTGGATCCACACGACTCAGACATTTTGTCCTATTAAAAAATGTAAATGAATGTTCACGGTGTTGGCTGACACAACGTTCCCAGTACAACGTTCTCACCGGTAAATGTAAATGATAGTTTACAAAATGAAGTTGGGCAGTGTTATCCGGTGGGAGAACTGACTTTTTAAGCTTTCTTGGAAAGCAATGTCGCGGAAGCTAGAGTCGCCACCGACTTTTCTTTTATCCTAATTGGAACGGTAGAAAAGAACATGAAAGACCTTTATTTTTTGAAAGAGTTTGGGTTCGGGAGATAGATTATTGCGAAGGGAAGGTGTTAGGCACCCTTCGCATCCGTGGTTTTCCACGGGCTCTTAGATACTAGCTCACTTTATGTTTTCAAAGAAATTTTGTTTGAGTTTGAAAAGAGTGTGTTTGAAAAGTGTTTTGAAGAGGAAGGGTTTAATCTTGTATTAGTTCTCGTTGGAACGTTATACAAGATGCTACCTTACTTGTTTTGAAAAATGTTTTAGAAAATGTGTGAAGTGAAGTGCAAAATATTTTTGAAATGGTGAGCAAGTATCTAAGGCATCTACCTACTCCTAAGTATTTCATTTCTTTTCTACTATCCGTTTTGAGAAGTGACTATCTTTACTATTGATGAGTAAGTAGTCAAGTCTCTTTAGGATTTAAGGGACAAACGATTATTTTTTGTATGGCCACCCAAGGCATGGTGTAAAGATTTCTTTAAGCCTTTATCGATTCGGCACTTGTCATCATCTAATTTTCGAAGGGACTAGGTTATTACCCATAGGGTTACAACCTAATATGCTTTTTATTTCAGGTGCAATGGAAGGGTTATGTTTCCAGTTAGTGGTAGGATAGATTTTGCAGCGAGATTCTTTAGTGGTAGGTTAGTTGACACCGATTTATTACACCGTATGCCAACCAGCGTATGTATCTAACTGTTTTAGGCAAACCAATTGAATAAAAAATTATTAAATAATTAATGAGTATTAAATAATTAATGAGTATGTATTCCATGTATAAAATATGGTGTGAGTGTAAAATATAGTTTCAAATCAGCATATCTCTTAAAAAAGCCTCAACCTAGACCACAAATGTGATTATCTATAGACCTTTCTAAACAGAGTAAACATGGTTAGTGTGAGGGCCATCAATTTCTAATATATGAATTGAAATTAGCATTCATAACATATAACCAAACAGATCGGGTGAGAAAAGTGAGTTCATATGACTGTTTCCACCTGCAATTCTTCTATGCAAATAAGACTTGGACAGAACGATGATCAAAGGAGCAATATTTTTAGAGAACTTGATTAACAAGCAGCCTCTATTAGTATTAACATAGCCACATGCATAAAAAACAAAATAAAATATAATTGTACTGATTAATTATACAGACACCAAAGTGATACAACGGAAAAGATTAATTGTTCTGATGAACATCAAAGTTCATCACGGAATGCTAAAAAATGCTAAAAAACCATCTAACGTTTATCATCTTGCGCGTTAGACAATATTTATGCGCTTTAGCCATATCATTTCATCCCTAAACCTGATTTCATCATAATTCATAAATTTAATCTTGCATTTTATGCAATTAAAAGTCATTTTTAAAGATACATATGCAACATTTCTAAAATGTATGGAGGAAAAGAAAAGGAAGTCGAAGGGTAGAAAATTGTTGAACTCACTGAGCTCAACAAGTAAGGGGAATAGTAGTGGTGTCAAACGAATGTCAACATCGGAAGACACTTCTAAATCCATAAGGAAACCCCCAAAATGTTTCGTTTATGACTATATGAATTTATCTCAGGAAGTGAAGGATTTGGGTATGAGAATTGATTGTTGTTTTGATATTGGATTAGATTTGAGGCGTAAAATATTGAAGTGGTTTGGAGGTAACTCAGATTTGCTTAAACAATTTAAAGGTTATAGTAACGACACGTTTTTGGAAGAAATAATGAAGCTAACACAATCAAATGTTTGTATTGAGTAGTAGGTGTTGATGTAATTTATTCAAAACACAATTTTCATGTGATTCTATTTCTTTTATCATTGTTTGTTTTTTGGTTTCCACATTCTTCATGTGATTCTACTTTTATGGTAGAATAAAACTTCCTGAGCACAAATTTTGTTGTGTGGATGACATCACCCGTGAAATTTAAATCTAGTTAATAAGTTCATCAACTATAATTGTATTTATATATTCAATAATTACTCAACTTTTTTCTATTATTTATAAAAGGCATTATTTTTAAAATGTGAGCAGGGCCACTAAAATGTTTGGGGCGGCCTGATTACCAGGCCTGACAATGTCGAGACACTTCAAGGGATATAACTGACAACGTTGAAGCACTTCAATTTTTATTTGACTTAGCTCATACGTTGAAGCCGTTTAATTCTTTATAATGTTAGAATTAGGGTTGATATTAGAGTTGATATAGAGATGACATGTGTCTAGGGTATATGTACCCATGTGATTGCTACAATCGACCAATCGTGACATTTTCAAGCGTTTATGCATAATGTATCAAAGCATGAGATTTTCAACCTAAAACATAGAATTTATCTAGTTAATCCTATATAGACAAACTTATAACCTTGTTTAAACAACATACTTTGCATGCAGGTGCAGGTAACGCCATTTTTTCTTTGAAACCCATTCCGCTCCGTTTGTGAACCCATAGGTGGTGGAACTTTGGGTCCACATTGCTTACCTCGTTGATCCTTATTTGGAAATAGACGTGGAAGGGCCTGATCCTATGTGGAAACATAGCGGTGAAACTGTGGGTTCACAAGCGGTACCGTGGTCGAGTCGAGTCGAGTGAACACCATTGCAGATGCTTTGAGCAGAAAGTATTTACACATGTCTATGTTGATGGTTCAAGAATGGGAATTGTTGGAACAATTTAGAGATTTGAGTTTGGTGTGTGAAGAGACTTATTTTGGAGTGAAGCTCGGTATGATGAAGCTTACTAGTGGTGTCTTGGAGGAGATTAGAGATGGACAAAAGTCAGATTTGGTTTTGGTGGACAAGTTTACTTTGGTGAATCAAGGTCAAGGTGGAGAGTTCAGAATTGATGAGAATGGTATTTTAAGATGTCATGATAGAGTTTGCGTTCCCGATGTGGGGGATGTGTAAAAGAGAATTCTCGAAGAAGGTCATAGAAGTGGGTTAAGTATTCACCATGGTGCTAAGAAAATGTATCAAGATTTGAAGAAACTGTTTTGGTGGCCTTGTATGAAGAAAGAGATTGCTGAGTTTGTGTATGCTTGTTTGGTGTGCCAAAAGTCCAAGATCGAACATCAGAAGCCTTCGGGTTTGTTACAACCGTTGACTATTCCTGAGTGGAAGTGGGATAGTATCTCGATGGACTTTGTTTCTGGTTTGCCGAGAACTCCGAGTAACCATGAGGCTATTTGGGTTATAGTGGATAGATTGACTAAATCTGCACACTTTATTCCGATTAGAATGGATTACACTATGGAGAGACTTGCTAAGTTGTATGTGGAACAGATCGTTTGTTTACATGGTATTCCTACATGCATTGTTTCGGATAGAGATCCGCGTTTCACTTCAAGATTCTGGGAAGGTTTACAAAGAGCCTTGGGTACTAAGCTGAGATTGAGTTCCGCTTATCATCCTCAAACGGATGGTCAAACGGAGAGAACAATCCAGTCGCTTGAGGATTTGTTGCGTGCTTGTGTGTTGGATCAAGGAGGTTCATGGGAGAGTCATTTGCCTTTGATTGAGTTTACCTATAATAATAGTTTTCATTCTAGCATTGGCATGGCTCCTTTTGAGGCATTGTATGGAAGACGGTGTAGGACACCTTTATGTTGGTATGAAACGGGTGAAAGTGCGATAGTTGGTCCGGAAATGGTACAAGAGACTACGGATAAAATTAAGTTGATAAGAGAGAAGATGAAAGTGTCTCAGAATCGCCAAAAGAGTTACTATGACAAGAGGAGGAAACCTCTTGAGTTCAAAAAGGATGAGCATGTGTTTTTGAAGGTGAATCCAACTACGGGTGTTGGAAGGGCGCTTAAATCGCGGAAGTTAAAACCTTGGTTTATTGGCCCTTATCAGATTTCGGAGCGGATAGGAAGTATGGCTTATCGGATTGCATTTCCGCCATCACTTTCAAATTTGCATGATGTGTTTCACGTTTCGCAATTACGAAAGTATATTGCGGATCCGTCTCATGTTATACAAGCGGGTGATTTGGAGGTTAGGGACAACTTGACGGTGGAGGTTTTACCGGTGAGAATTGAAGATAGAAAAGTGAAACAACTTAGAGGAAGAGAGATTGCTTTGGTTAAAGTGGCGTGGGGAGGGTCGACAAATGGTAACGTGACGTGGGAGCTTGAAAGTCGGATGCGGGATTCCTATCCAGAACTGTTTACTTAGAGGTAATTTTCGAGGCCGAAAATCTTTTAAGTGGGGGAGAGTTGTAACACACCGTTTTTAATTAAATGATATTTAATTTATTATTTTCCAAAATTATCAATTAAATCTATTTTAAGAAATATATTTATTTGATATCAATTAAAATGTTAATTCGGTTATTTGAAATAAAAATATTCATATCGATAAAATACTATTTTGAGTAATATTATTTTGGTGTGTATTTGACTTGTTTGAATTATCGGTATAATTTAACTTTGTGGAATAGATATTAATTAATGTTATATGGTTTTAATAGAATTATTATGATATAATTGAATTAAATAGATTTGGGCCAAATTAATAATTTTAGAAAGATTAGGGGTAAAAAGTTAGTAGTAGTATAATTTGGTTTTATAAAATATAATATAGATAGTTAGTAAGATAGAAAGAAGGAAAAGAGAAGGAGAAGAGGAGAAGGAAGAAGAAGCTAGGGTTCAACAACATCATCATCTTGATCAAGAAAAACCCACACCAAGGTAAGGGTTTGAGTTGCTTTGATCATATACTTGTAGTTTTGAGTTTCTGATTTTGGGTAAATGAGAAATTAGGTTTTTGAATAGTTGTATAGA